TGCAAGGTGGGGGTACCAGGGTGTTAAAGCTCTGCAACTTCCCAGACTCCTCTCCATTAGAAACAATTGTGGGAACACTGGCTCACATCTCCATCTGCTTCTTGGCTCGTAGGCCAAAACAAACACTCTTCTTCCAGTGACAAAGGTGGTAGCATGGGAGTCTCCCAGAGGTAGGAGGCAAGCTAGGTGCCTCAACAGAACACCCAATGCTCTCATGGGTCATGCTGCAATGGAAGACTAGAGGCCCTGACTCCCCAGGCTCTCCATCTGGCCTGAAGGCAGGCTCACAGCCTGGAAAGGGTCCTCACCACTATTCAGTCACACACTCTCTCTTACCCTTTCATCCCCATTCTGCAAAGGGTAGAAGCTCAAATCTATGGAGTTTAAGAAACCCACTCCAAGTGGGGGGAGTGGGGATCAAGAGGAAGTGCCCTTCCCTCCATGCCCTATTCACTCAGCTGTGCTGCCAAGGTGCATGACAAGGGTGCAAACATACACATCAGGTGAGGAGTCTGAAGCCAGACTGAGGGTAATGACTTAGACCACCCTACCACACACAACCACCCTAGCCTTGGCCCGGACATAGGGTCGGCTGAAAGCTGCAGGTGCAGCGTAAGCGAGCTGTGGGGACATCCACTGAGGTGAGCGGAGTGGAGTCCTGGGTCAGTGCCCAGCACCATGGATTCATGTGCTCACAGGCTCCTCCACAGTGACTGTCCTGACCTCTGGTGTCCTTTTATCTGGGCTCTGTTGTTTGTTTATGGATGAAGAAAGGCTATGCTCATGCCTCACTTACCCAAGCATGTTTGGCCATAGAAGGTATATTTGGTCAGGGCAAAGGACAGAGGTCATAAGGCTGAGTCCTTTCCCCAGGACCAGGGCCAGTCTCTGAGGGGGTCACTGAGAAACACTTGTCCTGACTTGTATCAGGTTGCTGGGTATACAATAACCTCGAAGGTCCTCACCTACTAATTCACACAAAAGGAGAGCTGTGGCCACCTTCCCTACCCACATGGCTGGCTCAGGGCTTCTCCTTCCTCTGGTCCCGCCCCACTCCCCACCCATTCCCAGCCTGCCAGAATGTGTGGATGGGTCCAAATCCCAACTGTGCAAGTGCTCGGAGAGCCCTCAGGCATCTGGGGGAGTTTTGGAGGCTTTGTCTCCCCAGAGCTCTGAGCAGCTGGGGAGGGCGAAGGTGGTGGCTGAAGTCCTAATCCATTTACCACCACACATGCAGGTGGGAAGTAATATGCCATTTCCTCGGGGAGCTCAGGTAGGAGCATGATCTGCCCCTACATCTGCACAAAACATACAGTGGGTGCACAATAAATACCCGAGGGGCTGCACCAAAAGTGTAAAGTGCCGAGCAAGGGCCTCCAACAATGAATCAGAGGAGTAGTGACCCCCGTGGGCCTTCCCATGGTGACGCTGAAATAGGGGTTGGATTTGGGGTTGTGTAGAGAAGAGGAGAGAGCACTCCTGGCCTTCTGGGATACTGGAATAAGCTAAACCTGACAGCCAGCTGGAGGTGGGGCTGTATGGGAGCCATGCATGACGGGGCCCGGGCTTAACCCCGAAGGTGCCTTTGTATCCTTCCAGATATAAACCTCAAGGTCCCCTGAGGCTCAGCCCCAGGTCATCTCATTTCCCGGCAGAGTAGAGGAAAACAGTGTCTGAATATCATTAAGTTATTGAGTTCTTTTTTCTTTTTATTGGCAAAGTAAATATATTTTTATGAAGGACCAAAGAAAATATACATAATTGTAACATATATACACCAGCTTTATAGATTTTTAAAATTTCAAATTTACACAAATGCTGATGTTATTAAAAGATATTTTATGTCGATGTACCTATGTACAGTTTATTTACATACATTCATAGGATGTGAAATAAACCTATCAAAACAAGCTAGTTCATTTGATATTAATTTCTAGACAAAATGAGGAATGCATTTCTAAATAGGGATTGGGGGCTTTATCTGCTTCTTCTACTTGCTACACAGCCTGTTCCCCTCTCCTCCCAAAGGTGACTCGGGAGGCTGGTGTCTGGAACCAGGACGAAGGGATGAGCCACACTGGGTACAGATGCTCCAGGGCTAGCCTGCATCTGCCTGCCTACCCTGCATGTTTAACTGAAGCACATGCACTGTCAGCCCCCAGAGGGGGAGCTTTTCACCCCAATCCTGCAGCCACCAGGAGGCCAGGCCCTGCATCCCTAACAGCCCTGCCATACCTCCTGGTACGCAGGCTGAGCAAATCATTTGGATGAAACCACCTGCACACCACAGTGCAGCCCAGAACTTTTGGCCTACTTCCTTCTCCCCAGTGTGGCTCCCTGTGGGAACTGACATTTCAAAACTGCACATTTCATCTTCCCGGGCAATAAAGTGCTGGCCCTGGCCCAAGCAGGGAGCCCAGTGGGAGAAGGGCCAGGCCCTCAGACACTGCAGCAGAGGCCTGTGACAGCGGCGCAGGAAGGCACGAAGGTGCAAAGGCACAAAGGCCGGCCTCCTGGGTCAGAGGCTGGGTCTCCCCAGGAAAGGCAGCAAGTGGGGGAGCTCTGGGTTCCTGCCTCCCAGGCCAGCCCCCCTCTTCCCATACCAACCCAGGCTGCTGGGTTGGCAACATTATCTCATCTCTCTGAAGGAGGCAAATAAATTATTGCTACAAAATATATGAGCGATCTGGACAATCCGATGGGCTGGTGGGATGGGGTGAGCAGGTGGTAGCGGTAATGGTTGTGTGGGTGGGTGGGTGGAGGTGGGGTCAGTTGGCAGCCCTTACGGAGCGACTGCTCCGCGGGAAGCGATGCACCTTGATGTGCTTGGACAGGTGGTCACTCCGCGCGAACTTCTTCTCACACACAGGGCACTGGTAGGGCTTCACGCCTGAGTGCGAACGCCGGTGCCTGGACAGTTCATCTGAACGGGAGAACCTACAGGGACACAGCAATCCGTGAGGCCAGGCTGGCCCGCCCTGCCCCAACCACCACCATCCCCAAACTCATACACCCAGGACTCCACCAGCTGGGCAGCCCAGGGTACCTAAGTGCTTCAGAATTTATGGTGAAAATCCACTGTCCCAAGCCCCTTCCCCATGTAAATCAAACATTCTGTCAGCTCAGCAGGCCATTCTCCTGCATCTGGGCCTGAGAGGGGCTGATAGGTGTTGGGACAGGCTTTTAAGGCTACCAGAGATCTGACTTACTCTCCAGCCATCCCACCCCACCCCAAACACCGCCCCCCTCTGGCGTGCAGTGGGATCAGCTTGCCCTAACTGAAGCTATGCTTCATGCTCTCCCCTTAGACCCGAACTTGGGGCTTCCGTGGAGGTCTACATTGGGAAGCTCATCTAGAGGAGAAAGTGAGGTTGAGAAGTGTCTTTCCCCAGCTGAGCAGGGAGTTCTTGACTCCTTTCCCTTGTCTCCATTAAAGAGACTCACCTCACCCTGGCGGGTTGCTCAATGGTCAGAGCACTGGCCTATGGACCAAAGGGTCATGGGGTCCATTCCCCACCAAGGGCATATACCTCGGTTGCAGGTTCCCCAGCCCCGGCAGGGACGCTTGCAGGAGGCAGCCAATCAGTTATCTCTCTCACATCAATGTTTCTTTCTCCCCACAACAACACTGTCTCTAGATATTGATAGAAAAAATAGCCTTGGGTAAAGATTTAAAAAAGAAAAAAGAAGAGCCCCACCCAATTCCTGGGCCCAGTTTTCCTGGAAGCTGGACTCCCTAAGCTGTCCCCAAACAAACTGTACCTCTAAACGGTATTTCTGAGAGTGTCAATGGCTCCCCTGCCACCTCCCTCTCTTGGCCCCAGTCTGTCCAGGAGCAAGTGTTCCCATAGCCCAGAGGCCACAGTGGGAGAGAGAAGAACTGGATGGACCCTGGGGCTTAGACAGCTGTTACTGACATCAGGGATTTGAGGCTCTCCCCACCGCTCACATCCCCGCTCCTCACACACATACTCTCCTCCTCTGTGTTCCACCTACACTGACTGTCCCTGTTCCCTCTTGACATAGGACACTGCAGTATTGTTCCCTTTATCCAGAATGCTCGTCCTTCCCTCTCCTTGCTCCCTCCCACCATCCCTTATGTTACTTCCTCAGGAAAGCCCTCCACAATGCACCTCTATCCGGGCCCCTGCCAAAGTTGTTGCAATTTTAAATCCAGTTCTTACTTTTTGATGACCATCAGCTCCATGAGGAAAGACACATCTACCTGGTGCATGGTAGGTGCCCAGTCAGTGCATTTACATGAAAGTGTGGACACAGCAGGCACCCAGAGCAGGCACCCACAGGAGGATGGAGCTGTCATAGGGACAGTCCTCTCAAGTCCTAGCGCATCCATTTACCCACATCCTGAATCCACACACTCACACACACACATGTGCATACACGCACACAACACACCTGTGTGTACACACATGCCACCTGTATGTGCATGTCATGGACACGGGTACGTTGCACATGTGTGCACACTCATACATATATATGCCACCCATTCCAAATCTTTGTGTACATGTATGCACATGCATACACACAATGCATGTATACATGTGTGAACAAATACATGCATATATGCACACACTCAGGAGTGCCAAACCCAACAGCCCCGTTCCTGGACCTGGGGCCTCACAGTAAGAGGCAGATTAGGTGATGCTCCTGGAAAGCTGTCCCCAACCCCGCCAATGGGTAGGGGGTGATGGCCCGCTTCTGGCATGACCTGTGGATTGAGGCCTTGATCTTATAGCCTGCCAAGGAGCAGGAGGACCCAGCAGGACAAGTGTTGGGGAATGCCCAGGTGGGCAGCAGGAGGGCTTGAGCACAGACGGGGAGCTGGGCCCAGAGGCAGGGAAGATAAGCACCTCAGCTTCGCTTGGCTGTCCCTGGTGCCCTGCCCCTAGAGCACAACCAGGTTTCTCCTACCCCATCCCAGAGCGCCAAATGTGGTCAGTATGTTTTCAGAATTAAGGAAGACCAACTGACCCGTTGTCCAGATGAGGAAACTGAGGCTCAGAGTGATGATCTAGGGTCACAGGTAGGGCAGAGCAGCCGAGGCCTGCACAAAGGTCTTGAAACAGCTCCCTGCTGTATCCTGCCACCCTGATGGCCACAGAGCCTGGCTGGAAGGCATGTGCCACTGGAGCTCTGTGCCAGGGAGGAAGCAGCATCAACAGGCTCTGGCAGTCAGAACCTGAACCTGAGCTCCTGGGCCAGGGCCACGTGCCTCCAGCTGCAGTTGGACATACAGCGTCAGAGCAGGTGGGCATGCCCAAGGCAGGGAGCAGCAGAAAGCTACAGGAAATGCCATCGACGTGCTAGAGCCTTCCCAGACACCAGGCACTGGGCGTGCCTGCACCTCGCAAGGAGTCAGGATCAGCCCATGGCACTGACAATATCACACGGTAAGAGCTCAAAGACAACAAGAGGCTTGCTGGGGGTCCCACAGCAGTGGAACAGCAGGATCTGCTCAGGACCCCACCCAACTGGGAGTCCTATGTGGTCCTGAGAAACTTAAGAACCATACTGGGCATGTTTTCTCATTTATCTAGTAAAAATCTTGGGATTCTTGTCTACCTTCCGGAACTTTTCTCAGAGGCCAAAGGCAGTGACACAGGACCACAGGGCCCCTGCCATCATGGGGGCACCAAGGGAAAGCCTGGCCTGAGAAGAAGCTGTCCCCACCTGCAAGCCCTCTCCCTACTGCCTTAGGGTCTGGCAATTTGAGAGGTGCCATCCCTAGGAACTGAACCCTCAGAAGATCCCTGCCTTACACCCTACTCACATTGTCCCAAAGAGCAGCACTGGAGACCTGGGGACCACACAGAGGGAGGGGACAGGTGGCTGAGATGCAGGCACATACTGACCAGCAACCTGGGCAAGTTGGCAAGCTCTCTGAGGCTGTTTCCTCACCTGAAGCCAGGTAAGTGACAGACCTGCCTCAGAGGACTATAAAAGGCGACAAGTGTTTACAGCAATGCTTGACACGTGGCAATCACCCAACAATGTGAACTCTTATTATCAGCAAGGAGCTTAGCACAGCACCTGGCCTCTGGGAAGGTCCTTGAGTGTGTGGCTGGTTACTGTGAATTGTGTTACCGGGTGCGGGACAGGGAAGCACAGAGGTCCAGGTGACTTTCCGGAGCAGCTTATAATGTCAGCACCACCACATGACCTCACTCATTTGTGGATAATAAAGATCATTATAAACTGATGAACCAAAAGATAGATACAGAGACAGTAAAGCAACAAGCAGATTGTCAAATTTCAGCGGGGAGGGGAGGAGGATCTGGGGGAGATAATAGATCAACTGAAGGACTTGTATCCATGCATATAAGTACAACCAATGGACATAAAACTCTGGGGAGGGAGGGGATGTGTGGGAGGGAGGGAGGGGGGAAAATCAATAAAATATGTAAAAATAAATAAATAAATAAATAAATGTAAAAAAAAAAAATAATGTCAGCACCACCACCGACACATACAACACCTTTGTGCAAAGGCACCCCTTCCATCTGCCAGAAAGCCATGATTGTAAAGCCAAGTCTCAAAGATCCCAATGGGAATGGCACCCCCCAGCGTTGTGCAGTGCACAGCCTGCCCAGCCACACTTGGAGGCCGAGCTGACTGCAGGGATGGGTACGGAGAATGCCTCATAGAGTAGGGGAAGCAGTGACACAGGCCAAGAGAGCCAGACCACTGGGCTTGAATCCTGTCCCTGCCACTCTTAGTTCTGTGGCCTCAGGCCTGCAAATCCCCTTTTCTGGGCCTCTGTATCTTCTGGGGATGACAACAGTACCTGCCACCCAGGGGTGGTGAAAGTTATTAATATTCATATTAGCTGCAGCAGGAAAGGATTCTTTCTGGACAGAACTGCTTGGCCATTCTGGAACAGGACGTTCCGCTGCAGGGAACAAAGCAGGCCTGTGTCTGAGTGTGAAGCAAGGAAACTTCTAGGAAGGCAGGCAAGCAGCCACTTCCCAGATGCTTAGCTTGAAATAGGGAAAGTCTGATTCCAACCCTGTCAAGGGTGCCAGAACCATGTCACAAGAGGGGAAGGGACAGGGAACAGTGGCTTCAGGACCAAGAGCAGAAGGAAGCGGGCGTTGGTAACCTGGGCAAGTGACAATGGGGAAAAGGAATGCAGGGAGGGATACTGTTCATCACACAAAGGTGCACAGGGTGTGGCACAGGACACAGTGCCAGGGCCAGAACAGGCCTGGTGGGAGGAAGAGGAATCTGCTCACCAGGCCCAGCAAGAAGAGAGGCAGCCTTGGGAGTGGGGAGCTCCCCACATGGGGAGGCAAGCAAGCGAGTAGGGGGCCACTCCAAAGACCAGCTGCAGGTGGAGGTCCTCTCAACACTCCAGCAGGCCACACCTGACTAGAGGCTTGCAGAAGGGGCTGGAGAGAGGTCCTCAGTCTGGGGGGAGGAGGTTGAGGGCAGACAGCCCAGGGTGAACTCCTGACTCTGCCACTTACTCGTTGTGGGACCATGGAGAACTTACTTAAATGCTCTGTGCCTCATTTCCTTCTCTGTAGAATGGGGACAACATACTAAGGCACACCTCATGGGCTTGTTGGAACATTACATGAGTTACTGCGTTAGGTGCATGCAGAGCAGTGCTTAGCACATATCAGGAACTGCTGTTATCACTGCTGCTATTGCTAGCTCTTTTCCCTCACCCATGTTGTACACCTGAAAAAGCTGAGGGCCTGTGGGGGGGAGAGGACACCCAGCCATTACAATCCCAAGTGCACAGAGAAAGATGAGGGGAAAGCCAGCCCAGGACTGCAGGTGTCTCCGGGTGGGAGAGGCATGCCTGCCATAATACTTGCAGGTCAGGGTGGGGCTGAGGCACTGCCTGGGGTGTAACTAGAGTCATACTCACTAGCCCTGTCCCTGCAGGCTTTCTGGGCCTCCATTCCCCCCTCTGTAAAATGCATATTGATGTCTCTGTTCCAAGGCTATTGTAAGGACTCAGTAAGTTACTGCCTGTGGCCTGTGCAAAACAAAGCGGAGACCATTATAAGACCACCTACAGTTGCCACTGGGGAAGAAGCATTGGAAAGAGAGGGCACAGAGAGGGCTGAGGTCCAAGTGTGAGCATGGCCTGCAAAGGTGAGATCGGCAAACAGATTATGTGGGCCTGTGGGCCAGAATGACAAGCTTGGATGGTGCTTTCGTGAACCAAAGTACACATAAAGGCCAGAATAGCCTCATGGGGTAATGAGTTCCCCGTGGCAGGCGGTATGCAATTAAGTATAACTCGTGGAGGGGATTCCAGCTCCGAGAACCTTAGAATAGTGGCTAGCAGAGTGTAGCTGCTCAATAAACATGATACCTTATCATCATCATCATCATCATCATCATCATCACTTCTCCTGCTCTGTCCAGACCAAGTGGCCACAAAGCTGGGTCTGTCCTCCTGTCCAACTGCTACAAGAGCTCCCTTCACCGCTGACCATCGGATGGCCCTATGGCCACACTTAAGGGACATGCATGCCTTGTATACATTCCCGCGGTGTCCGGATCTCGAAGGCCAACTGGAACTCTCAAATTCTCAGAGAAACAGTCTCCCTGGGAGGCAGCGTGCTAGGCTCTCAGGGCCTCTGCCATGTGTGACCTCCACTCTGGAAGAGCTTGAGAGAATCTAGGGAAGTCTTTTGAAGCCCTAGGAGTGGCTGGAAGCAGGGATGGCTCCAGGGTCAACTCCATAGGGACCTCATCATGTCACGCACCTACCATGCCTTTCCCTGTTGAGTGAATCCTGAGCAAGAGGAACAATGCCAAGGCTTAAACAGTGGCAGAGCTGAATTCCCTCCATAAATCCCACTCTTGTTTGTATACCTCACTACCTCATAATGCCCCTGTGTCAGGGCTGAGATCTGCCTCCTAAGATGCACTTTGGCTGTGGTTCCTGTCTACTTTCTGAGACAGCCTAGAAGACAGGTCTCCTCCTCTTGTAGGAGTGGGCCAATTGGGCAGTCTTGACCAAGGACCATACCTTTCCTCTATGGTCCCACCCATTCCTATCCCAAATGGAAGGGCCACTTGCCAACAGTTAACAGCAGCCAGAGGACGGCGCCCAGGAAGATGAGCCCATCATAAGAGTCAGACTGATGCTGGAGAGACCTGGGGACCACACAGAGGGAGGGACAGGTCAAGCCAAATGCCCAACCTCTCTCCAGCCCCGCACCCCACCAGGAGAAGAATGCATCCAAGAGGAGTCCCTCTAAGTCTGTAGTGTCTCTGAGATGGGGTACGCCCACATGAAGGCCAGGCAGAGAACCTTCTCTTCTCTTCTCAGACTCTGATCTTGGATTAAGTGTGACTATTCCACCAATGAGAAAGGGTGCTGCTGAGCACCCCTGGTCCTGGTAAAGAGAGGCAGTGAGTAGGACCCCCACTTTACAGATGAAGAAACTGAGACTTAGGAAGGGAGACTACTGTGAGGGCACACAGTGAGCTGGAGGCTGACCAGGACTGGGGCTTTAAACCATGCCACCAGGCACCCCAGTACCTTTCCCTCTGCCTCTAAAGCCCCATGTCTATGGTCTCCTCCCTGACCCCCCAACATTACACACCTCCCCCATCAGGCCTCACAAGCTGCCGTGCAAGTGCGCTGTACCAGAGGTCCTACTTGGCAGAGTGCGGCACGAGGCTCAAAGGCATACAGCACCAGCACTGACACCCAACGTGGTGGGGCTAGAGCAGAGGCTCTTGAAGAAGCCCTGCGGGTCTGCTGATTGGCACCTTCGGGTCCTTGGGGTGGAGGGTGCCTGCGCTCAGAAAGGGCCTCCATAACCCAAGATGCTTTTTGAAACAAGTCCCTTCCCTGGTCACCTCTGCACTCCCCTGGAAAGGGGCTGCCAGCATCACATCAAACATTCCAGTCACAGCTCCTGTCCTGGGCCAGCCAGGACTCCAGGAGTGGCATCTCCCACCCTGAGACCACTCTCAGGAACTCTCCGACAAAAGTCTGGTCAAAAAACAAAAGCTGCAAACTGCTCCCTGTGAGCCACACCAACATGGATGTGCACTCATAGACAAGGTACACACATGGTCATGCATCAGAGGCACACCTGAAAAATGCAAGATGCGTACACATGTGCACACACAGTTATACACTTGCAAGATCCAGTTCTGCACACAGATGTGATATGCCACATCGCTCTCTCACACACTCACACATGTAGCCACGTCAATAAAACCCAGGAATGTGCCAGTAGAACAAGCCACCCTTCCAGGCAGGCCAGAGATTCCAGCAGGATGGGCATCCTAAACTGGGGACAGCCCAGCTGTGGGACCCCTAAGCATCAGAGCTCCTGGCTGGGCTCCCGACTGGCTGCCTGCTTTTCAGGAAAAGGTGGACATGCTCTCCCAAAGAAGGTGAGCCAGCACAAGGGGCCAGGGAAGGGAGCTCCACTGGGGTCCCACCCAGCTATGCTGCCTGAGGGCTGGGTAACCCTAGAAAGAGCCCCGTCCTTTGAGAGTTGTTCTCCCCGCCATGCTACACAGAGTCCGTCCTTTGAGAGTTGTTCTCCCCACCATGATGCACAGAGTAGAGTCTTCCACCTTTCGGTCAGTACTCAGCTGGGCCCTCCCTTGTGGTTGGCTTTTACAGCTTCTCTAACACACCTCTAGGTCTCCCATGGGAGCAATGGCCTGGCCCAACCCATGGGCACAGGGACTTCTGTAAGGGAAGCTGGTCCCTTTGGTTGGGAAACAGCATCTTCAGGATGTGACTGCTCTAATATGACCATTGGGTCCAAATCCCATTTACAAAGCTGTGTGACCTTGCACAAGTTATTTAGCCAGTCTGAGCCTCAGTCTGCAATAAGCAGTAAGATGGGAATAAGGGTGGTACTTACCCTTTGGGGTGCTTGAGGCAGAGGGAACAGTGCACACATGGTCAAAGCCCCATCATTCCCAACTGTCCCTGCTATGTTATGACAGCCCTTCTGCCCTGGCTCAGCCCCCTCGCTCTCAGCACAAGCCCCAGCAAACCTTACCAGGAGACCAGTTGTTTTCTGGCTTTAGTGATCAGGAGGGACAAGCCTCTGAGCAGCCGTTGCTAGCTAGGGCACTGCCCCGGGCCCACCCCTCTCCCCTTCCTAATCAGTCTTATCTAATGCAGAAGAAATCACCTTGGCAGCACACCCAGAAGAACAGAGATAAGGGGCAGCACTCACCCAGCCTGTCACCCCTCATACTGACCTCCAGCCACAGCCCGGCCAGGTGCAAGCGAAGGGCTTCTCGCCTGTGTGCCGTCGGAGGTGGGCCTTGAGGTGGCTGCTTTTGGTGTACATCTTGCTGCATCCGGGGAAAGTACATTTGTGCATTTTGATGAGTTCTGCCGCCGGGTTCTTGGGGAACTTCTGGCCCATGAGGAGGCCGGTGGGGCCAGGCCCCAGGGGTCCTGACCCAATGGGCTTGGCAGCAATGGGCACAGGGGCAATGCGCACAAACTTGGAAGGCGCGTTCAAGTTTGAGGAGGGCACCACCTGGGGCAGGAGTGCAAAGGTCTGCCCCTGGATGTTGACCAGGAGCTGGGCTACCTTGACACTCTCCGGGGCCTGCCCAGGGGAGGAGGGCTCTGTGCCTGATTCCTGCTTCACCTGCACAGGTTGAATCTGCAGCAGCAAGGGGATGGGGCCATCGGGTGCAGGCCCCCCACCGGGGCCCTGAGTGTCACCCGCATTGGCACCACCTGGCTGGGGAGCACAGCGCTCTCTCCCACCAGACCCAGGATGGAGATGGCTCCTGTGTGGCCCAGCTGAGAGCTGACTACAGACCTCCACATCCTTATTGTTGCTCTCTGGAGCCTCCTTGACCCCCAGCTCCATGTTCTCCTCCAGAAACTCTTCAATCTCCTCCAGCGTGGGCTGGAAGGGCCTTGGAACATCATCGGGGTCACCGACAGAAAACTCTGGGAAGCAGAAATGCTCCCCCTTCACAGGTGCCGGTGCCCTCCGCCAGGCCTCCCAGGTCACAGGACCACTGCTGGCCCCAATGCTGCCGCTGCCACCACTGCCCAGCGTAGCCTGGGAGAGCAGGAAGTCCAAGATGTTGTCCTGGCCCTCAGCGCCCGGGCCATTGCTGTAGCAGGAGCAGAGGGCTTGCGAGTCGGGGCTGGCACAGGAGCAGAGGCTGGAGGCATCACTGTCATCTTCTGAGGGGGGTGAGGGCAGCATGTGGTAAGCTTGCCTGCTTACCAGCCTGTCTCCCAAATAACCAACCCGGCACTTCGGCGACGAGAAGCTCTCGTCCACTGGAAGTAAGTGGTCCACCATGCTGGCCTGGCCGTGCCACTGCTGGCTGTGGAGAGGAACAGAGTGCCGATCAGGACAGCACCCTTACCTGCCATCGTGTGGGCCTGAACCCCCGCACCCCCATCTGCTCACAGTCCTCATGGCCAAATGCCTGGATCCTGCCTCCATCCATACCCCAGAATAACTCTTTCTGCAAGAGTGTTTTCTGAAATTGCACCACCAGTTTGCAAGAGTGCTCTCACAAACCCCATTGCACAACCTGGGGCACTTTTGCTTTCAAACATATTTTCCAAAATAATTCTGGAAAGGGACACTCCCATGTCTGTGAATGATTGTGACTGCGTGTGAGCAAGAAAGGTATGTGAGGAGGCTCTCTGCACCTTGGAACAGCCAAGGTCAAGAACCCTGTCCAGTTATTCAGAGTTGCTGCATTTCTGAGGACATCTGACCTCAGCTTCATTCCTGTTGACTCATTAGAGTGGGGAAGAATGGCCATTTGCCCTTTGACCCTTGTGTTGTTGGGGCTTGGATAGGGTTGCCAGATTGAGCAAATAAAAATCAGGCTGCCCAGTTAAATTTGAATTTCAGAGTTTTTTCAACAACTTTTAATTTATAATGTAAGTATGTCCCAAATACTAGATGGAACTTGCTTATATTAAAAAATTACTATATCTGAAATTCAAGTTTAACTGGACAGTCTATATTTTAATTAGGCAAGTCTAGTTTGTGGCAAAAAATTAAAGACCCATTGTGCCTGCCCTCAAGGCCTTGTTTTCCCAACTGAAGCGGGCAGCTCACCACCCTCCAGCTCTCAAACCCATCTGAGCTTGGCTGCCTCCTTTGTAAAAGGAGAGAGGAGAGACAGGCCTGAAAAAAACAGACATTTTACTGAGGTTCTGTCCCTGAAAGAACTCACAGGAGCTGAGGTGGACCCAGATCTTACCTCATGTGACTTCACAACCGCCTAGTAGGCCTGCAGAGAAGACCCCCTTGGCCTGCACCCATGGAGCACTCACAACCTCGGGAAGACCCAGCTAACTCCCATCTCTCAACTAGACCATGGTCTCCACGACAGCAGGCTGGGCGGTAGGGTGTCCGCTGTGTCCCCAGTTCCCAGTGTGGCAGCTGGTGCCCAGGAGAAGCTCAGAGAATGTCAACAGAGAGAAGGGAAAGCTGTGTCCTCTGAAGGCCATGCTAGATCTGGTGTCCAAGGAGAGTCAACAGTGTCAGGCTGTGATGGGGCCACCTCTATGGACCTTTGTCCCCACCCAGTGATCATGAGTGGATGTTTATTGAAGTTGGGGATATTCTGCACTTGAAGCCAGCACTTCTGCTGCCTGACATCACCTCTGCACCACCCCCATGCTCTGTCTCTAGAACCACAACTGGGCCTGTCAACCCAACTGTCAAGCACTGCCCAACAGTCAAGAGGCCCAGCCCTGGGCACCGAGCTCCCAATGCTGGTCATCATCAATGTGACCTTGGGCAAGTCCTCCCGAAATCTCAGTTTCCCCATGTTTCGTGTTCCCAATGACCTCAGGACCTTTGGCCTCAGTTCCAAACTGATAAGGGAAGCTTCAGAGCTCCAGGAAACAAGGCAAGGTGGATGCCCTTGGTAAGTCTGCACTTCTGGGAAGTTTCACCAGGACATCTGGCTTTTACTCGAAATACTCAGCCAAAGACTTAAAATTGGGTATTTTAAAATACACACTATTCACCAAGGTGCCTTAAGGAATAAAAATGCTAGATAATATAAAAGGCCATGAGGCTGGGCAGAACTCACACTTGGTCCTACACCTCCCTCACCCCTGTCACTCCCCACCCTCTGAACAAGGGGTATGGTCCTACCTGTGCAATAAGTCAGCTGGGCGGACGATCTTGGGCAGGTGGCACAACGTCTCTGTGCCTGTCTTGGTCTGCTGGGTGGGGATGCTGCCAGCAGTGCCTAGTTCTATTGCTTTAAGAGTCCATGAGCTATCTATCATATGATGAGCACTTACTATAGGGCTGGCATGAACACAGGGCATGGTCAGTACCAGGCTCCAAATGGGGGAACATATGGTCTTTCTGCCCCTCTGCTGTGATGTTAAGGAATATGGGGGACTCCAGCCTTCCTGGAACCGGGGAAGAGGCAGGGACTGGTGGGAAGAAGCAGATCAGACCATGTTCCTGCCCACTTAAGCTCTCCTCTAAATTATGACCACCAACTGAATATTCCATAATATCAAGGAATTTGTCTTGATATTTTTAAGTGTGATGATGGTACTGTGATTCTTATTAAAGAAGGCCTTCCTTTTCTAGATATAAACTGAGATAGTCACAGATAAAATTATATAAAAAGAGTGAAAGAAATACATAAGTACAGAAGGATAGGGTGGGAGGAAACCTCCAATAGTTTCCCAAGGAAATGTGACCCAGCCTCTCCCAGCACCCAGCACCTGGTCCCTGCTCACCTCACCCATATCTCACCTCCACCTGCTCCACACCAGCTGTGTGCCATGCTCACCAACTTCATGGACCTCGGGCCACTATTCTGGCTGCCCCCTCTCTGAGCATCCCTCTATCCCCAATACTCCAAATAGGAGTAACTTACTTCAATCTCAGCTCCCCTAACCATTCTCTGGGATATCATCCCACGTTATATTCTTCCTAGCAGTTGCCAAGGCCGGAAACTATCTTAGTTGTGTGTTTGTGTTCTTTACTTTCTGTCTACCTTCCCACCAGAATATAAGCTGTTCTGACTGTTCATTCAGTCCACCTCTGTATTCCGGTGTAAAACAGGATCTGGCAAACTTTGCTGAGTGAGTGAGTGAGTGAGTGAGTGAGTGAGCGAGCGAAAGGCCGCTGCTGAAAGGAAGCCAGGAAGGAAGCGGGGCGGGTCGGGAGGGTAGAAGGAGACCTGTTGTAGAACCCCAGGGTGAATGCAGCAGCAGTGTAGTAACGCAGGGCTGAGCAGCCTGCGCTGGACGCCGAGGCACTCAGAGCCTAGAAGGGGCTCTGGAACTGCTGGGGAGAGGGCATCTGAAAGAGGGCACGCCAGGGCTGAGTCGGCTCAGGCCCCTAAAACACATCGAGCACGTGGCACGGCCAGGGGCACAGGCTTCGCGCGGGGAGGGGACGCACTGTTCCGGGCACCGTCCCCAGCAGTCCGCAGGACTCCGCCTCTTACCCCCCCTACCCCCTTCGGCGCGCCAGGCCTGCTGTTTATCCTCCCGGGGACACAGCGGCAGCAGGAACAACATGTAATTGATAACAAGCCCAGCGCCGGCCAAGGGCTTGCCATTGGGTCAGCGTGCAAATCAAGGGGGTGGCAGACGAGGCCGCCCTTCAAAATAAGAGTCCGGGCTCCCCGCTCGGCCGCCGGCAGGCCCCAAAGTCCGCAAGCCCGGGCGTCCTGGCACCTGCAGGGTGGCCGGGGAGCCCCGCAAGCCATCGGGTACTTAGAGAGGGGGGGACATGATGGGAGGGGTTCAGACATTTGGTAATGTTGTCACCCCCCATCCCCATTGCTGGGATTGGGCGAGCAAGCCCCTCTTTGCCCGCGCGTGGGGAGGGAGGGAAGGCGGTGCGGGTCAGGAAGGGGTTCCATAGGGAACACCGCCGTGGGGAGCAAGGAGGGAACCGGACGGCCAGGGAGGGAGGGGATGGCCTCTTCTCTGCCGCCGCCCCCGGCCATCGCTCCGCTAACGTTCAGTCCAACAGGCCAGGAGGTAGGAGCCGTGTGAGCGGTGCGAGTGTACGCGACAGGGTGCGAGTGGTGCCGTGTGGCCGTGCGTGTCGGGCGTGGACGCGGCGGCCGGTGTGGCAGGACGGGAGTGTCCGCGGCGCACCCGCGCGTGGAGCCGGCGGCGGTGCCCGGCGTGTGTGCGCGTGTATGTGTGTGCGCGTGCGTGCGTGTGTGTGTGTGTGTGTGTGTATGCGTGTGTGTGAACGTGCG